ATTCCCAGCACCCACATGGCAGCTATGAACCGTCCTTAACTCCAATTCCAGGGGAATCCGAAGCCCTCTTCTGACCTCCGTGACATTACACGACACAGGTGCACTCACATACATGCAGCATACATGCATACACATAAAATAAAAATAATAAAATATTTAAAAAATAAAAATAAAAAATAAAAATCTGAGCTAAAGATAACAGCTCAGTGGTAGAGTGCTTGCTTGGCATGTATGAGGCCCTAAATCCAACTCGGAGCACCACAAAAAATTAAATACATAAATAAAATAGAAATTATATTGTACAATAGTGCTCTTGAACTTTGTTTTTCCCCATCTGAAATTTTATATCCATTGAACAGTAGTCCCATAATATCTTCCCACCCAGCTGAAAAATTTTAATAATTAGTTAGTTGAAAATTATTAGGGCTAGAGAGGAGTTAAGAACACTGGCTGCTCTTCCAGAGGACCTGGGTTCATCCCAGCACTCACAAAATAAAAATAAATAGATTTTTTAAAAAAGGTATCAGTATTATATGCCATGACTTTTTAGTAATGTTTTTTATGTGTGAGTGTTTTGCCTGCATGTAAGAAAGTACACCTATGTCATGTAATGCCCACAGAGGCCAGAAGAGAGCTACAGGTTCCCTGGAACTAGGGTTACAGACAGTTGTTAGGTGCCATGTAGGTCCTGGGAACCAAACCTAAGTCCTCTGAAGGGCAGCCAGTGCTCTTAAGTGCTGAGCCATCTTTCCAGCCCAGCATGCCGTGACTTGTGAATAGTACTCCATACTGTGTGCATTCCCAAACAGTCAGGAACCTGCTAGGAATAAACAAGCAGTTGGACAACACAAATTCCATTGGCAGTAAATGAAGGAATGATTTTTCAGAACCAAGGAGACAGGCAGCTGAGCTACCGACAACTGGATATGTATCTAATGCTTATGCTACTTAAGCCCAATGTCTCTAAGAGGTGTCAGCTATCTGACCAATGCTTGTCATATTAAATGTGCATATGAAATATTTGGAATAGGTAAGGGTTGGTTTTCAATTCATGAAGCTGCTTTTTAAAAATAAGCATACTTGCTGCCTGTGGTGGTGCACACCTTTAGTCCCAGCATTCGGGAGGCAGTGGCAGGCAGATCTCTGTGAGTTTGAGGCCAGCCTGGTTTACATAGTGAGTTCCAGGCCAGCTGGGGCTACAGGGAAACCCTGTCTCAAAAATAACAAAACAAAATAATAATAATAATAATAATAATAAATAATAAAATAAAAAGCATACTTGGGTGTGGTAGTACATACTTGTGCCTGTAATCTCATCACTTGGAAGGCAGATACAGGAGAATGGAGTGAGTTCAGATCTGGTCTACATAAGCCAGTTCCAGGCTAGCCAGGACTGTTAAATAAGACTCAATTAAAAATAAATAAACCAGGCGTGGTGGCGCACGCTTTTAATCCCAGCACGTGGGAGGCAGAGCCAGGCAGATCTCTGAGTTCAAGGCCAGCCTGGTCTACATAGTGAGTTCCAGGACAGCTGGGGCTACAGGGAGACCGTCTCAAAAAGACCAAAAAAAAAAAAAAAAAAAAAAAAAGATATTTAAGGGTATATAGCTCATTGGAAGTTCCTTTTATATGTTGGATGTTATAGATGCTGTAGAAATAAGTATGTAGTCCTACCTTTGAGTGCAAAATTTAGCAGGGAAGATAATAGGTGAATTCGTAAACAACATAATGTTGCTATAAAGATACGAACAAGTTGTGTGAGAACATGATGGATGCAGCAAATATGGCTAAAGAAATGGTGATCTTAAACAGGACGTGATGTGACACGCCTGTAATCTAAGCACTCAGGAGGCTGAGGCTGGAGGATCTTGAATAGAGGCCAGTCTGGGCTACATCCTAACTCAGGTTCTTATTTTAATTTAAAAAACAAACAAAACCCAAAGCGGATGTGGTAGTGTTAGCATATGTCTGTAATTTGAGAGTTTTGGAGACAGGAGCATTTGAGAGTTTGGAGACAGGAGGCTCCGGGAGTTCAAGGTCATTCTCCACTACGAGGTTAATTCTTTCCAGCCCAGGCTACTATCTCAAGGCCCTATCTCAAACAAAACAAAACAAACAACAACAACAACAAAACAAACCTAGGCCCACAAGATGACTCAGCCTATAAAGGTTATTGCTGCCAAGGCTCATGACATAATTTCTGTACCCAGGATCCTCATGATGAGAGAACTGACTCCCCTGAATTGTCCTCTGGCTGACACATGTGTGCTGTTGCATGTACACATATACCCCCACCCACAAATTAATTTTTTTCACCCTTTTAGGGGGACAGGGTCTCCCTGTAGCTCCAGCTGGCCTAGAACTCTCTATGTAGACCAGGCTGGCCTTCAACTCACAGAGTTCTCCCTGCCTCCACCTCCTGAGTGCTGGGATTAAAGGTGTGTGTCAACATGCCTGGCTATATATGTAAATTTTTGAATTAAGAAAAAAAAATGGAGCTGGAGAAATGGCTCAGCAGTTAAGAACACTGGCTCCATTGCAGAGGACCTGGGTTCTGTACCTGACACCTACTTGGTGGCTAGCAACTGTCTGGAACTCCGGTTTCAGGAGATCAGTGCCCTCTTCTGGCCCCCACAGGCATTGCATGCTTGTGGTGCACTTACATACATACAGGCAAAATACACATATAAAGTAAAAATAAATAAAACCAGGAGCTAAAGCCAGGCATGGTGGCACAGGCCGCTAATCCCAGCAGTTTAATCCCAAGTGCCTTTTACTTACTGAGCCGTCTTCCTAGCCTACTTCATTTTATAAATTTATTTAGTTTGTTTTGTTTTGTTTTGTTTTTGAGATAGGGCTTTGCTATGTAGCCTGGCTGGCCTGTAACTCACTTTGTAGCCTGGTCACTTAAGCTGACCTCAAATTCATAGCCTCTCTAATGCTCGGATTACAGGGGTGTGCCACCATGTCTGGCTTGTTATTTTCCTTTCTGTATTACCGTTGCTGCCTCTATGCAGAGAATAATTTTTTAAATTATTTGGTCAGGGGGCTGGAGATATGGCTCAATGGTTAAGAGCATTGACTAATCTTACAGAGGACCTGGGTTCAGTTCCCAGCACCCACATGGCAGGTAACAACTGCCTATAACTCCAGTTCCAGGGGATCTGATGCTTTCTTCTGATCTCTGCCTGCATTGCACACATGTGGTACACTTACATGCATGCAGGCAAAACACTCAAAAATATGTGTGTGTATCTGTTTATGCATGTAAATTTAAAAAATTATTTGATTAGTGATTATATTTTTGACATGTTTAATACATTTGGAAGGGGACAGCGATAATTATAAATTATACCTTCTGATTTATTAAAAGCAGCTGGGTATGGTGGTGCCCTTTGATCCCAGAACTTGGAAGGCAGAGGCATGGGGACCTCTGTGAGTTCAAGACCAGCTGGGGCTACAGGGAGATCCTGTCTCAAAAAAATAAAACCCCAAAACAAAAAAAACAAACAAAAAAACCCAAAGTACTGTTGCTTTTAGCTATAATCTTTTTTTAAAAAAATTTTATTATTTTTATTTTATGTGTATGCATGTATTGCCTACATGTAGGTAAGTGTACCCGTGTCATGCAATGCCCTTGGAGGTCAGAAGAGGCTGTAGGATCCCCTGGGACTGGAGTTACGGATAGCTGTTAGCTGCCATGTGGGCGCTGGGATTCGAATCCGGGTCTTCTGCAAGAACAACCAGTGTTCTTAACCACTGAGCCATCTCTCCAGCCCCTTAAGCTATAATTTAAAAAATATTTTTACATTTATTTATGGGGGGGTGGGGGAGTGAGTGGGTAGCTGCACACATGCCATGACTTGTGTTTGGAGGTCAGAGGACAGTTTGCAGGAGTGGGTTTCCTTCTTTTCCATATGGGTCCCGGAAGTCAACTCAGGTTGTCAGGTTTGGCAGAAAGTGTCTACCCTCTGAGCCATCTTGCCAGCTCCTAGCTATAACATTTTAAGGTCCATTCCCAGCATAAAAAGTCTTTTCAGAGTTGCTGGTTTCACATGAAAGGCAAGAATAGATAACCTGTTTTTATAAGGTTATGGAGTTTGTACAGATGATTTCTGTAGGGGCCTTGTAGAAAACTTATATTGGTATTTGTCTGGGAAACAATAGCACTAGACAGAGCATGCAATAGATTCCAGCCCACATCTGCAAACTCTTGCTGGGTTGCTGAGTGATTGGGCCTAGCTTGGTGTGAGGAATGTTTGTTTTGCAACTTCAGAGACAATTCAGTTGATTTAAAAAGATTTGTTCCCACTTCTTTCTGAGAGCCTTGGATACACAATGTCTGTATTCACCTCTTGCCTCCAGAGAGAAGAGGAAAGAACTGAAAAAGAGTTGGTTGGATCTTTTCCTCCAAATAGTGGGCCAGACCTTCTAAAGCATAGGCCTAGCTCTTGAAATGATGTAATGGGTATCATAGAAGATTGTTAGATCTTGTTTTGTTTTTGAGACAGGGTCTCCCTGTAGCTCCACCTGACCTGGAACTCCTTTGTAGACCAGGCTAGCCTTGAATTTACAAAGCTCTGCTTGCCTCTGCTTCTCAAGTGCTGGGATTAAACGTGTATGCCACTGTGGTGCCTGGCAAATTCTCTCTCTCTCTCTCTCTTTTTTTTAATATTTTATTTATTACTTTTATTTTTATGTGTGTGAGTGTATTGCCTGCAGTGCACCCATGCCGTGCAATGCTGCAGAGGTCAGAAGAGAGTTTTGGATTCCCCTGGAACTGGAGTTAAGGACGGTTTGTAGGCGCCATGTGAGTGCTGGGAATTGAACCTGGGTCCTCTGCAAGAGCAGTCAGTGCTCTTAACCGCTGAGCTATCTCTCCAACCCCAATTCTCTTATTTTTTTTGTGCTATTATATGAGAGACATTTTGACTTGAAGTTCATCTAAATTGTCTGGAAGTTGATGGTAGTTCTTTTTTTTTTTTTTCCTGTCTTTTTGAGACAGGGTCTCCCTGCAATCCCAGCTGACCTGAACTCACTTATGTAGACCAGGCTGGCTTTGCACTCAAAACGATCCGCCTGCCTCTGCCTCCCGAATGCTGGGATTAAAGCCGTGTGCCACCATGCCTGGCTGATGGTAGTTCTTTTTTATTAATTTCTTTTAATTTAAAAAATTATTGTGTGTGATGGTGGCAGGGGACCATGCCACAGTGCACATGTGGAGGTCAGAGAACTTTGTGGAATCAGTTATTGCCTTTTACTTTTATTGTGGGTTCTTGAGATTGAACTCAGGTCATCAGACTTACCTGAAAAGTAAGTCTTGATGATAGTTCTTGAAATGACCTAGCTTAATAGTAAGATCCTCCATCCATGAGCTGGGCGTAGTGGCGCATGCCTTTAATCCCAGCACTTGGGAGGCAGAGGCAGGTGTATCTTTGTGAGTTTGAGGCCAGCCTGGTCTACATAGTGAGTTCCAGGACAGCTGGGGCTACAAGGAGACCCTGTCTCAAAAAGACAAAAAAAAAAGATCCTCCATCCACAAATCGTTTGTTCTTAAAATTTTAATTCATAGAGCTGGCCTTGAACTTCTGATTCTCCTGCCTCTATCTCCCAAGTGCTGGAATTACAAACATATTTACCCATGCCTGGCTTCAGGTTGTAGTTTTTCAGATAGAAAATAGGGACACTGATACTGTCTTTTTTTTTTTTTTTTCATGTTTTTGGCACTGGAGGTTGAACCCAGGGCCCCATATATTTATAAGCTTATATTCTACACTGAGTTATGCCCTCAGCCCTTATTTTTAATCTATTCCTCCACATCTAATACAGTAAAAAAGTAGAGAAGTTGATATGTTGATCTCTAAGTTTGTCTTTTTGAATCTCTTGCAGACATGTTGGCCGTCATTGCCTCCGAGCCCACCTTAATCCTCAGCTTTGTGTGAAAAAGTAAGTTTCTGAGTCTATGGAGATTACTATTCCCTCTTTTTGTTTTCCTCATGAAAAAGAAATAAAAGGGTTAGACATGCAGTTTAATTGGTAGAGTACCTGCCTAGCATTCAAGAGATCCTAGGTTCCATCACTGCTACCACATAAACCAGGTATGAGACATGTTTGTGATCCTAACACTCAGAAGGTAGAGGCAGGAGATCAGAAGTTCAAGGTCATCTTGACTATATTGTGTGTTTCAGATCAACTTAGGATATATAAAAGCCTATCAAGAAAAAAAAAAAAAGGAAAGGAAAGGCAATTAAAAAAGACTTGAAATCCATTATTATCCCAAAATACTGTATTGGCTAGGTATTCTCAGTATTCAACAGATAGAGGCAGGAGTATTAGGAGTTAAAGACCAGCATAGCCTACTTGAGACCCTGTCTCCAAAACATAAATAAATCAGAGATTGTTGATATAGATTTGGGGATATATAAGAAAGTTGGCAGTTACAGACATTTGGCTGTTTAACAATTAAGGTCACTATGTCTTCTGATTTCTCTTTTTCTTTCTTTTTATGGCTCTGGGGATTTAGATGATTTTTCTTGTTGGTGATGATGTTATTGTTGGTTTTGGTGTTTTATGGTGCTGGGAATCAAACCTAGGGCTTTGTACCTGTTAGGCATGTGTTTCACCACTGAGCTATAACCCAGTGCATAGAACTAAAGCCAGGAATTTGCCTCCATCAGTAGGCTACCTTCTAATCCTAATCACTTAATCCTTAAGTGATCCCACTATTATGTATCTTTCTTAATTTTTCTTAGCCCTGGCTGGGCTGGAACTCACAGAGATCCACCTGCCTCTGCCTTCCTAGAGCTGGGATTAAAGGCCAATGCCTCTGTGCTCAGTTTGATTCTTTTCTTGATAATCCATTTTTTTTTGTCTTTTTTCCCTTACTAGATTTTTAAAAAAAAATAATCCTTTAGTTTTAATTAGTTTCAGGACCTAGTTTTTGTTTGTTTGTTTTTGTTTATTTTTATTCCTGAGACTGGGTCTCTGTAGCCCCAGCTGGCCTGGAGCTCACTATGTAGATCAGGCTGGCCTTGAACGCACAGAGATCCACCTGCTTCTGCCTCCCAAGTGCTGGGATCCAGGACGTGCATTGCCACACCTGCCTGCTTTGTTTTGTTGATTTTTTTTTTTAAATCTTGGAAATATACTTTCAGAAAATTTAAAGAATAGTACAAAAAAAATTCTCTTTGTTGATTTATTTTATTTGTTTTGACTCTTTAAGATAGGACTTGAAGCCGGGCGTGGTGGAGCATGCCTTTTATCCCAGCACTTGGGAGGCAGAGGCAGGTGGATTTTTGTGAGTTCTAGGCCAGCCTGGTCTACATATTGAGTTCCAGGACAGCTGGGGCTACAAGGAGAACCTATCTCAAAAAGACAACAGAAAGATAGGATTTGTTATATTGCACAGCCTGGTCTTGAGCTTAAATGATCCTCCTGGGTTACACCACCATGCCTGGCATGATAAGCTCTATATAAGTATAATCATTAAATTCAAGAAAATAACTCTGATGAATGCTTTTCCGATACATAGTTAATTTTCAGATTTTCTGTTTGTCCCAAATAATGTATTTTATAGAAATGAAACCTCCCCTTTCCCCTAGCGAGAATCTAATTAGGCTTGCAAATGTGCTTAGCTGTTATATTTTCTTAGGGTTGGGTTTTGTTTTGTTTTGAGACAGGGCCTCAGGCTGGCTTGGACTTGCTATGTAATTGATGACATTGAATTCCTGATCCTCCTGCTTCCACCTCCACTGATATTATAGGTGTGTGCCACCATGAACTTTTTTTTATTTTTTTCTTTTTGAGACAGTCTCTTTATGTAGCCCTTGCTGGCCTTGTAATTATTAGGTAGTCCAGTCTTTGAACTTCTAATCTTCCTGCCTCTGCTTCCCAAATGTTGGTATTATGGTTGTATGTCAACTTCCCTTCAAAGTGTTTAGTATTTTATTTTTATTTTTAAGTGTATGAGTGTATTGCCTGCATGTAGGTAAGGGCACCCGTGGAGGTCAGAAGACAGCATCAGATCCTCTGGAACTGGAGTTACAGATGGTTTGTTAGCTGCCACGTGGGTGCTAGGAATCGTACCTGGGTCCTCTGTAAGAGCAGCCAGTGCTCTTTACTGCTGAGCCATCTCTCTGGCCTCCCAAAATTTAAAAAATATATTTTATGTATTCATTTTGTGTGTATGTGTGTATGAATGTGGATGTGTGGGACCATGTGTGCCACAGTGCACAGGTGGCGGTCAGAGGGCAGTTTGTAGGAGTTGATTCTCTCCTGCCATGTGGGTCCCAGAGGATCAAACTCAGGTTGTAAGGCTTGACATCACCTTTACCTGCTGAGCCATCTCACTGATCCAACCTTACCTTTTTAAAAATCTTTTTTGGAGTGTGTTACTGAATATGTTAAAGCTGTAGTGAAATGCTTCTTCTAATCATGTAGTTATTAAAAATTAAAACACCTTTTTTGGGAGGGCCAGGCATGGTGGCACAGGCCTTTAATCCTAGCACTCAGGAGGCACAGGCAAGCAAATCTCTGTGAGATCAAAGCTAGCCTGGTCTACATAGTGAGTTCCACGCCAGCTGGGGGTTACAAGGAGACCCTTTTTCCAAAAAAAATAAAAAGATTACTCAGTGGTTAAGAACAGGTACTGCTCTTGTAGAGGATCGGAATTTGGTTTCTGGCACCCATGTTGGGTGGTTCACAACTGCCTGTAACTTAAGCTCCAGGAGATCCAATACCCTCTTCTAGCCTCTAGGGGTACTTGTACTCGTGTGCACGTACTCATACACATATACAAGTAATTAAAAATAAAATAAATCTTGCTAAGCATGGTGGCACATACTTTTGATCCAAGCACTCAGGAAGCAGAAGCAGTCTGGATTTCTTTGAGTTCAAGGCCACCCTGGTCTACATAGTGAGTTCCAGGCCAGTCAAGGCTGTATAGTGAGACCCTGTCTAAAAAAAAAAACCCAAAATTAATTAATTAAAAAATAAAATAAATCTTTTTTACTTTTTATTTATTTTGTCTTTTTGAGACAGGTTCTCCCTGTAGTCCCAGCTGGCCTAGTACTCACCATGTAGACCAGGCTGAGCTTGAACTCACAGAGATCCACCAGCCTCTGCCCCTGCCTCCCGAGTGCTGGGACTAAAGGCGTGAGCCACTATACCTGGGCTGAAATAAATCTTTTTAAAAAAGTCTTTGTTCCTGGGCGTGGTGGCGCACGCCTGTAGTCCCAGCATTTGGGAGGCAGAGGCAGGTGGATCTCTGTGAGTTCGAGGCCAGCCTGGACGACATAGTGAGTTCAAGGCCAGCTGGTGCTACAGGGAGACCCTGCTTCAAAATAACAACAACAACAACAACAAAATTCTTTGTTATCTAAAGTATATAAACTAAGGCTAATTTCTGTCCTTTTTAAATCTGTTTTGTTTTAGTGCTGTTCCTTTGGGAACCACAGCCAAAGAAGAGATGGAGCGGTTCTGGAAAAAGAACACCGCTTCAAACCGTCCAGTTTCTCCCCATCTCACTATCTATAAGTAAGGGCTCAAACCAGAGAACCTAGCGCTAGCGTCTGCCTTATTTTATGTGTTCTAAGTAGTATATTGAATACACTGCATGGGCCAGTGGACTGGGAAATAACTACAGCAGCACCTGCATTAGCATCCAGCTTCTTGATCTGAGGTTTCTAAATGTACAACTACCAACAATTCAAAAGAAACAAGTAATGAATCTGAGGTGTTTCTGGTAGTGCTTGTCTGTTGCATTGCATGACTTCTCTGCAACCTTGCTTCTTAACACACAGCATGAGTGGTTTGTAGTATACATTGCCATCACACCTTATAACACAAGTGAATTCTGTCTGCAACACCTCACTTCAGAATTGAGGCTACGGTATATTATGCTTTGAATGTAGTTTTGAACTTGTATGTGTCTTAGTTATGGAAAACAGTGACTTTTAATACTTCCTTACCCTGATTCCTCAGCATTTAGGTATCAAATTAGTATACCTTTGGACACCACTGTGCTAGAATGTTTGATCTTAAAAATTGCTGTTTGTGGGGCTGGAGAGATGCTCAGTGGTTAAGAGCACTGACTGCTCTTGAGAGGACCCAGGTTTGGTTCCCAGCACCCACATGGCTCACAACTGTTGGTAACTCCAGTTACAGGGATCCAATGCCTGCAAATATACACATAAAATAAAAATGAATACTATTTTTTTGAGACAGGGTTTCTCTGTAGCTCCAGCTGTCCTGGAACTCACTATGTAGACCAGGCTGGCCTTAAACTCAAAAAGTTCTGCCTGCCTCTGCCTCCCAAGTGCTGAAAAATGAATAAATTTTAAAAATTACTGTTTGTTCTGGCACACACCTTTAATCTTAGTACTCTGGAGGAAGAGGCAGACCATTCTCTGTGAGATAGAGGCCAGCCTGGTCTACATAGCGAGTTCTAGGCCAGTTGGGGCTACAGGGACTGTGTCTCAAACAAACAAAAAAATTGCTGTTTTATCCTGGTCATAGTGGCACATACCTTTAATCCCAGCACTTGGGGTGTGGAGGCAGGAGGATTGGGAGTTTAACCCCATCCTCAGCTACACAGCAAGTTCAAGACAAGCCTGAGCTATAAAACAAACACAATAATAGTGTGACACATGTCACATTAAGCTAAAAATTGGGGTATTGGGCAAAGATGACTCAGTGGGTAAAGGCACTGGCTGCCAAGCCTGATGAATTGAGTTTGATCCTTGGTTACACATGGTAGAAGGAGTGAATCAAGTCTTGAAAGTTGTCCTCTGACCTCTACATTGTGCATCTTGGTGCATACCACTACACACAAACAAAATAAATAAATAAATGTATTTTAAAAAAATAATAGGACTGGGTATGGTGGCATATGCCTTTGATCCTAATATTTGGTAGGCAGAAGCAGGCAGATCTCTGTGAGATTTAGGCCACCCTGGCCTTCATAGCAAGTTCCAGGCCAGCTGGGGCTACAGGGAGACCCTGTCTCAAAAAAGAACCCCCCCCCCCCGTGTAAAAAAAAAGGAAATCGAAGGGAAAGTAAGTTTGCTTTGGACTTGAATAAATGATGGATTTAGGAATAAATGATAATAGGAGCTATATTCTTTTCCTTTGGTTCGAGGGGAAAAAAAATCTGTTTCTTGCAGTTTCTAGCTTCTGGAGGCCATCTATTCCTTGACTTTGTGACTTATTTGTATTTTAGATAGGGTCTTTTTATTAAAACTTATTTATTTTTATGAGTATTTTGCCTACATGTGTGTAAGTGCACTCCTGTAGTGCAATGCCTGGGGATGTCATAAGAGGGTATCAGATCCCCTTTATATAACTGGAGCTACAGGTGGTTAGCCATCATGTGGGTGCTGGGAACTGAACCCAGCTCCTCTGCAAGAGCAGCCAGTGCTCTTAACCACTGAATCATCTCTCCAGCCCCTTCAGTAGGATCTTATGTAGCCCAGGCTGGCTTCAGACTCAATTTTTAACTGAGGCTTGCCTTGAATTTGCGATCCTTTTGCTTCCACCTCCCAGATGCTGGGATTACAAGCTGAGTGCCACCAACCATGCCTGTCTTACTGCACATTCCCTCTTGATTTCTTGCTTTCTATAAGGCAAGCCTTGCTGTCTTTATCAGGATGGACTGATTTCCTGTTTTGAAAGTTTTACTGTTACTGTCATTGTTTACTTTGATGTTCAAACTGGTGTAGACTTGGCTTTTGGGAGTTCTTCAGTATGGCTTCTATGACATCAGTATTGGGGTGTTAGATATGCTCATTGTTGCTAGCACATCATTGATTCTAGGTCCTCTTAATGGTTAGAACTAAGAATATATGTTTACAATCACCTCTCCCATGTATATATACATGTTTGTTCATCTCTTGTTTTCAGAAGTGGCAATGCTGACTGATTTTGTTTTTGTCTTCTGAGAAAATCTTGGTCAATCTGCTTTAAAACTGTAAAATAATAATAATTTTAAAGCTAACCCAGCAAAGCATCTTGAACTTTGGTTCCCTTTCCACTTGGGTTTCTGCCAGGAGAGACTGGCCATTTTTTAACCACCTCCACAAATACCATAGCCCTTTGGTTTGTTTTTTTTTTTTTTTTTTTTCCAGCTTAGATTCCAGAAATAATTCTAATTGCAGAAATTGAGCATTGTACTAAAACATAAGGAAACTAATAAGTGATTGTAGTTCTTAGTACTTCATGGTGAAATCTTTTCCAAAGGGATAAGTGCTTTCAGAAGGATTATGATAATGGAGAATATCCCAAATAATTCTGTATTTAAAAGCCTGGTCTTTCTTCACAAGTCATATAAAAAAATGACAGTCCTATTTATGGAACTTCAGACCTACTTGCATGAAAAAGAAACATCAAGAAACATGGGCTATTTCCCAGAAAAGGAAAGATATCTGAAATAGCTAGAATCATACTTTTTTTTTTGAGACAGGGTCTCCTGTTAGCCCTAGCTGGCTTAGAACTTGCTATATAGACCAGGCTGGTCTCACAGAACAGAGATCCATCCACCTGTCTCTGCCTCCTGAGTGCTGAGTTTAAAAGCATGCCACCATGCCTGGTCTTTATTTATTTGTTGGTTGATTGGTTGTGGTTTTTTGTTTTTTGTTTTTTTAATTTTCTATATGTATGTGTGCTTTGACTGAATATGTGTACGTGTACCACATACATGCAGTGCCCAAGGAGGCCAGAAGAAGGCATCAAAACCCCTGGAACTAGAGTACAGGTGGTTGTTAGTCACCATGTCAGTGCTGCAAATTGGATCCCGGTCCTCTACAAGAGCAAGTGCTCTTAATTGCTGAATTCTCTCTCCAGCCCCTGATCTTAAATTCCTGGTCCTCCTGCTTCCACCTCACAAGTGCTGGGATTTTAGATATATGCCACCTGTTCAGCTCAGCAAGCTTCTAGTTGTTTTATTTTACTTTTTGGTTTTTTGAGACATAGACTGGAACTCTCTATGTAGCCCAGGCTAGCCTTGAACTCATGGCAAACTTTCTGCTTCAGCCTTGAAAGTGCTGAGATTACAGGCATGAGTCACTACACCCACTGTGATTGCTTTCTAACTGTGATTGCTTTCTAATTGTACAAGCTCTTATTGGTATCAATATGATGACGCATGTTTTTCTCCTGGTGAAAACATTTGAATTATAATCATTTCCTCTTTGCTGTAGCAGTGATTCAGTCTTATAAAATCAAGGGATACTTTTGAAATAAGTTGTATTCTTTCTTGCAGTAGATTGAACCTAGGGCCTCATGCATACTAGATAAGCATTCTGCTGAGCTGTGCACACAGCCTGATTTTTTAAATTAATTTATTATTTTTATTTTATGAGTGTATTACCAACATGTATGTTAAGTGCACCCATGTCGTGCAGTGGCCACTGAGGTCAGAAGAGGGTGTTGGATTCCCTGTAACTGGAGTTATGGATGGTTGTTAGCAGCCATGTGGATGCTAGGAATCGAATCCAGGTTCTCAGGTTCTCTCTCTGTAAGAGCAGCCAGTGCTCTTAACTGCTGAACCATCTCTCCAGCCCTTGATTTTTTTATTTTATTTTATTTTTGGTCTTTTTGAGACAGGATCTGCCTGCCTCTGCCTCCCAAGTGCTGGGATTAAAGGCATGCACCACCATGCCCAGCCAATTTTTTATTTTCAAATTAGAAAGTGGAAATAGGAATGTGAAAGCTGTTTTGACTTGTTTATTTTGAATTATGTCTGTTTTAGAATTTTATTTCCTTTGCCAAGATGGACTGTCTTAGAGAGTCATCCCTTCCTATTAAAAATTGTCTTGTGTGTTTCTTTGCAGTTGGTCTCTTCCGATGGTAATGTCCATTTGCCACCGTGGCACTGGTATGGCCATGGCTGGAGGTATGTATGGATCTTTTACACTTCTTTGAAGAACTAATGTTTCTGTGGTTCTCATCCCTGCTTCCTTTATACCCCAGCAACTTGATTCGGAATGAATAGGAGTCCCCATTAAGCTTTATTTATTTATTTATTTATTTATTTATTTATTTATTTATTTATTTATGTCTTTTTGAGGCAGGGTCTCCCTGTAGCCCCAGTTGTACTGGACTATGCAGCCCTAGTTGGCCTGAAATTCTCCATGTAGACCAGGCTGGCCTTGAACTCACAGAGATCCGCCTGCCTCTGCCTCTCAAGTGCTGGAATTAAAGGCGTGTGCCACCACACCAGGCTATTTTTATTTTTTTATCTTTTATTTCTTTTGGTCTTTTTGAGACAGGGTCTCCCTGTAGCCCCAGCTGGCCTGGAACCCACTATATAGACCAGGCTGGCCTTGAACTCACTGAGATCCACCTGCCTCTGCCTCCACACCTGGCTAAGCTTTCCTTTATTAATTTCATTAATTCATTCCTTTAAAATTAATTATGAGTCCCCACCATGCTCAGGTTCTGTTCTTAGCAGATTTTTTAACTCACTTTCTGGTGCTATGTTAAAATTACAGACAGTAGAGATTGAAATGTAGTAGAGATGATCTGATTGTTTATCGATGAAAAATAGTCCAAGATCATCAACCTTATTATTCCAGAACCTCTGTTTTAGCATCCATTCTTTGTGACCTAGGATTATCAGGCTCCAGAAGACTAATTCTAACTAACTGATCTCACAAAATCTTGGTTTGTCTGAGTGTCTATTTATTCATTTATATAATATGAAATACAGCTGCAGAATGATTTGTGTATAGCCTTAGGTAGTGAGTATATCCATTTCAAGCAGGAAGATTTGTTGCATGGAATGCAGATTATAATTAGGTTTCCAGGATCTGATATTTCTTTTCACAGTAAAGTTGTATTTTACAAGAAGAGGATCAGATACATTGCTTAGTTTTTTCTAGCTAGTGCTAGAGACATACATATATTGCTTTAATTACTTAGCATGACCACTGCTTTCTTTTGCTGTTAACATATCTTTATACATTTGATTGAACTTTCAGTGAGAATAGCGAATGGGCACTTGTAAATCCTTAAGTTAGAATGTAAAGAAACTAGGGGCTGGAGAGATGGCTCAGTGGTTAAGAGGACTGGCTGCTCTTGCAGAGGACCTGGGTTCAATTCCCAGCACCCATGTGGTGGCTAACAACCTTCTGTAAGTACAGTTCCAGGGGATCTGATACCCTCTTCTGACCTCTGAGGGCATTGCATGATACACTTACACACATGCCAGAAATACACTCATACACAGAAAATAAAATTAATAAGTATTTTTATAAAAGGATATAAAGAGGCCAGGCATGGTGGCACACACCTTTAATCCCAGGACTTGGAAGGCAGGGGCAGGCAAGATCTGTGTGAGTTCAAGGCCAGCCTGGTCTGTATAGCAAGTTCCAGGCCAGCTGGGGCTACAGGGAGAACCTGTCTCGAAAAGACCAAAAAAAAAAAAAAAAAGAATATAAAGAAACTAGGAGGCTGGAGAGATGACTCAGCAGTTAACAGCTGTGGCTGCTCCTTGCAGAAGACCCAAGTTTGAATCCCAGCACCCACATGGTGGCTAACAGTTGTCCATAACTCCGGTTCCAGGGGATCTGACCCTCTCTGTCTGGTCTCCAGGGACATTGCAGGACACTGGTACACTTACATACATGTAGGCATACCACTCATACACATAAAATAAATAAAGTTTTAAAAAAAAGAGAATATATGCCAAGCGTGGTGGCGCATGCCTTTCATCCCAGCACTTGGGAGGTAGAGGCAGGCGGATCTTTGTGAGTTCAAGGCCAGCCTGGTTTACACAGTTCAGGACAGCTGGGGCTACAGGGAGACCCTGTCTCAAAAAGACCAAAAATAAATAAAAAAAGAGAATATAAAACTCAAACGAAGCCTACTCAGTGAAGGAGATAGAATACCTCATATCCTAGGAGGGTTCAGATTTCAGGTTGTCCACAATGCAGTTTGCTTTACTTTGACCTGGAGCCAGATTGCTTTACAGGTTGTAGACACATCAGTAAGACCATGAATTGACACAAAAAGCATGGAGAACACTCCAGAGATTTTTCACCATGGCTGTAAACCTTAGTCCAAGGAAGCTCCCACCTCACTGATTGAGCTAGGCTGGCCAGCGAGCCCCAAGAATTGTCTGTCTCTATCTTCTCTGACTGAAAGGTACAGAAAAAGTGAAGAAAAAAACAAACATGTAATTTGGAATGAAACAGATTAGCGTTCAGTTCCAACTTTGTCGCTAAGTGTCACAGGTCTTGGACAAGTTATTTGGGCCCTCTGAGCCCCAGATTTGTCTTCCAGTGTAGATAATACTTCATTGCTATATACAAGGGGAGTAATTAGAATTTAGAAGTCATAAAAACATATAAATTCTTTTTAAAAAAAATATTTGTGGGCTGGAGAGATGGCTCAGAGGTTAAGAGCACTGACTGCTCTTGCAGAGGACCCGGGTTCAATTCCCAGCACCCACATGGTGGCTACAAACTGTCCTTAACTCTGGTTCCAGGGGAATCCGAAGCCCTCTTCTGACCTCCGCAGCATTGCACGACACGGGTGCACTCACATACATGCAGGCAATACACTCATACACATAAAATAAAAATAAAATTTAAATTAAAAAAAATATTATATGTGTCCTGCAGCCAGTGCTCTCAGCTGCTGAGCCATCTCTCCAGTCCCCTCAATAAAACAAACTAAATAAACCAGGGTGATTAAGTGTGTTCGAGACATAGGACCAGAATGTAATTGAAACTAAGTAAGGCAGAAATCTAGTTGATAGTATTATATTCTATTTCAGGGTACAAATAGAATGGGCTATATTTGGCCAACAAATGTGTTTCCTATGATTAAAAGAAATAACTTGAGGCTATTGTCTTTTGAAAAAAATTAAGTTGTGGGGCTGGAGATATGGCTCAGTGGTTGAGAGCACTGACTGCTCTTGCAGAGGACCTGGGTTCACTTCCCAGCACCCACATGGTGGCTACGAACCGTCCTTAACTCCAAAGCCCTCTTCTGACCTCCGAGGCATTGCGGGACATGGGTGCACTCACACACATGCAGTCAATATACTCATATGTGGGGTCTCTCCCTTTCCTCGTGGGTCACCGCTCCACGAGGATAAAGGGAGCAGAAGCGACGAACTGGGTCAGGATGGCCAGTGAGCACTGACCAAAGAAAGCCCTTCTGGGGAAGCAGGTTCAGTGATACAAACAGCACCAGACTCAGTGAAACAGCTCCATTTATTTAGTGGGATGTTAGGGAAAATATAGTGTGGAGGCAGTAGCCAATGCTTCAGCTGACAGGTGCTCATAGTATGCTTTATTTACATGCGGCAGTGGGCAGTGCCTGATTATCATATAGAAAAAACCTGGGGGTAATTTTAACTCCAGGTAACTATGCCAAAGGTCATGTTCCAAATAAGGTCAGGCATCCGTGCTTGGCAGCACTTTCTAGGTAAGTCTGGCAGAGAGCAGGAGGCCCCCTGCTGAGAAGGGGAGTCCTTCCATATGGCGCTGAGCCCCTCAGAGCTATCTGGACGTGGAGGACTACAACCCTAACAGCAGGGTTCCCCAACACTCATACACATAAAATTAAAAAAAAAAAAATCAAGTTGTAGGGCTGGAGACAAAAACAAAATTTTATTTTATGTGTATGAGTGTATTACTTGCATGTATGTAAATGTACCCATGTTGTGCACTGCCCACGGAGATCAGAAGAAGGCATCAGATTCCCTAGAATTGGAATTGTTAACCGCCAGGTGAGTGCTGGGAACTGAACTCCAGTTCTCTGCAAGAGCAGCCAATGCTCTTAACCCTTGAGCCATCTCTCCAGCTCCTTATTTATTTTTTTAAGATTCTTTATAAAAAATTTATTCATTTTTGCTGGGCATGGTGGCATTAGTCCCAGCATCCAGGAGGCAGAGTCAGGTGGATCTCTGTGAGTTCAAGGCCAGCCTGGTCTACATAGTGAGTTCCAGGTCAGCTGGGACTGCAGAGAGACCCTTTCTCAAAAAGACAAAAAAAAAAATATTCATTTTTATGTGTACGAGTATTTAGTCTCCATGTATGTTAAGTGCACCCATGTACAGTGCCTATAGAGACCAGAAGAAGGTGTCAGATCCCCTGGAAGTGGAGTTACCAGTTGGTTTTGAGCTGCCATGTGGGTGCTGAGAACCATATCGAGGTCCTCTGAAGAGTATCAAGTGCTGTTAACCGCTGAACCATCTCTCCAGCCCCTATATATTTTATTTTTTTATATATGAGTGTTTTGCCTGTATGTAAGTGTACAATATGTGTGCACTGCACTCAGAGACCAGAAGAGAGTATTAGAGTCCCTGAACCTGGAGTTACAGTTGTTAGCTACCATGTGGGTGCTGGGAACCCAACCCAAGTTCTCTTGAAGAGCAGCCAGTATTCTCCATTGCTGAGCCATCCATCTCTCTAGCTCCATGAATTTTTAAATTGACTTTCTAGGTCTTGGAATATTTGGATCTTCAAAGTGATATCCTAAACCAGGCTTGGTGGTGCACACCTTTAATCCCAGCACTTTGGGATGCGGAGGCCAGCAAATCTCTGAGATCAAGGCCAGCCTGGTCTGCATAGCGAGTTCCAGGCCAGCTGGGGCTACAGAGAGACCCTGTTTCGAATGAATGAATGAATGAATGAATGGTGATATCCTACTGGGCCAGATGGTTTGCGCCAATAATCCCAGCACTGGGGAAATTGAGGGAGGAGGGAGGCTAAGGCAGAAGGGTTACTAAAAGTTAAAGACCATCCTAGGCTGCATAGTGAATTTCAGGCCAGCCTGGACTACAGATTGAGACTTTGTTTCAAAAAACAGGAGGAATTAAAAAATGGTATCAACAGATGAGTACTAATTCTTCACAGTGTGTTTTATATACTCTAGTCTCAGTTTAGAAAATTTGAAGACCAGGTAGACCTTACCCTGTATAGACAGTACATCAAGAGTTCCTGTTGCCTTTGAATCCTTAGATGTTCATTCTCTTTTCTATTTGTAATGTCTACTTATGACTAAGAATTTATTTAAGTACATATAATTTTCAATATAGACCTGGTGGTGATTATTATTTTTATTAATAATTGGAATAGTTAATCTTGTACCTCTCAGAAAATGTCTGAACATTTGTACTTTAAAAAAAAAAATCGCATTCTCAGCCAGGCATGGTGGTGCATGCCTTTGATCCTAGCACTTGGGAGGTAGAGGCAGGTGGATCTCTATGAGTTCAAGGCCAGCCTGGTCTACTTACTAAGTTCCAGGCCAGCTGGGGCTACAGTGAAACCCTGTCTCAAAAAGACCAAGAAAAATTAAAATGAAATCCCATTCTCAGCCCTTTCCACATTATGAGTACTATTTTCATGTGTGTATTCCCAAGATGGAAATGTGCCTGGGGAAATTGTCACCAAAAGAGAAAATGCTTCTGAAAAGCACTTAGTGTACATTAGAGCATGACTATTCCTGAATCTGAGAGAAGTTACAGAGTACATCATAGGGAGATAAATGTGACATTTTAGGTAAAAAGTTAATCAGGTGCTGTCAACTTGAGTTTTAGTCATCACTTGGACAGCTTTTCCAAGGTTTTATATATATCTTTTCATTTTCATTGCACTGGTAGTTGCAAGGATTTGCTAGGAAAAAGTGTCTGAAAGGGTGTCACGGTGCAGTGACCACAAACCAAGCCTGATGGGCTAGATCCCAACAAAAGGGTTTTAATGACTTCTAGAAGTGCCTATAGCACTTACTGATAGACGCATAGTTCTGTATATAACACCTCTCGGTGGTGGAGACAGCAGGAGCTAGTCGCAGCAGGCAAGCCAAAGTACCACTTAATTTTTCTTAATGAGTGGATGGGACAACTTCAGTGGCTTTGTTTTTCCGAGTTTATATTATTTTGCTGTTTGAGGAGTCTCTATTCTGGCACCCAGGTTCCAGGAGCAGGGTCTAGAGAGCTGTTCCTGATATAGTGGACACTAGAGGAAGTTTAGGAAGTCAGACTTAATTTCTTACGTATTTTTCACATGATTGCCTTGGAACTTACCTGGTCCAGGCTGGCCTCAAACTCAGGAGCAATCTTCCTACTTCTGTCTCCCAAGGACCAGGATTACAGTTCTTTTACCTTTTTCTAATGAGACAATGCTATGGCAGTAGGGTGAGTTCTAATTGTCATCTAAGGAGCTTTTTTAAAATAGAGGAATGTTAAAAGGAGGAATAAGCTGGGCGTGGTGGTGCACACCTTTAATCCCAGCACTCGGGAGGCAGAGGCTGGTGGATCTCTGAGTTCAATGCCAACCTGTGTACAGAGTGAGTTCCAGACCAGCTGGGGCTATAGGGAGACCCTGTCTCAAAAAGAAAAAAAAAAAAAAAAAAAAAATTTAAAAAGGAGGAATAATGTAAATATACTGCAATTTGATATTGGCATCTGAGCCCACTTAGCCTATTTCTCACTGTAAGCTTTTTTCTGGTACTGAAGATTGAAGATTGAACTCAAGACCTCATCCATGTTAGGTAAACACTCACTGCTCTATATCCCCACCCCCTCCCACTGTAACATGAGATAAAAAGTTCTGAACATGAGTTTAAATTTTCTCTTTTTTTCTAAACATTTTCATTTTTTAAATATTTTTATGGGGGTATTGTCTGCATGTATGTAAATGCACCCATATCATGCAATGCCCATGGAAGTCAGAGGACAGCACTGAATTCCCCTGGAACTGGCGTTACAGGTGGCTGCCATGTAGGTACTGGGCATCGAACCCAGGTCCTCTGCAAGAACAGTCAGTGCTCTTAGCCACTGAGCCATCTCTCTAGCCCCAGATTTTCATTTTTTTCTCTAATATTTAAAAAAATATTTTTATTATATGTGTATGAATGTATTGCCTGTGTGTAAGTGTACCCATGTCATGCAATGCCCTCGGAGGTCAGAAGAGGGCATCAAATCCCCTGGAACTGGAATTAGAACAGTTGCAAGCTTGTCATGTGGGTGCCAGGAATTGAACCTGGGTCCTGTGAAAGAGCAGCCAGTGCTCTTAACCACTAAGCCATCTCTCCAGACCCCCTCATTTTTTAAAAAATTATTTTATGAGCTAGAGAAATGGCTCAGTGGCTAAGAGCACTGATTGCACTTGTGGAGGACTCGGGTTTGATTCCCACATGGAGGATAACAACCACCCGTAACTTAAGTTCCAAGGGAGTCCAACACCCTCTTTTGACCTCCTTGGGCATTGCATGGCGTGGGTGCTATATCTACTTAGCAGAATAATAGTATTGGGCTCACCTCTACAGCCTTTGACCTATCTAGCTCCAGGTTTCTAGGCCTGATATCAATGTCAGGTATGGGCACCTTCTTAGAAGAGGACCTTTCATTCAATTAGAAAGTAGTTGGTCACTCATAATATTCGTGCCACTGTTGCACTGGTGGGCATATCTTGCCAGGTCAGTTGTTATAGCTCACAGGATTAACAGCTGAGAAAGGTTGATGGTTAATTTTCTCTTCTGGTAGCATGCACAGCCCCTTCTACCACTATATTGCCCCTACTAGACACCATAGGCCAGCAACATAAAAGCCCAGCACCTGGAATGGACTCCCTCTTTTGAAGCTGTTGGTTAAGGATACCATAGACCCTCAGACAATACTGGCCATTGCCCCTGCTCACTAGAACTTGACAGTAAGACCCTATTGCTGAAGACACTACATATATGAGCCATAGAACAAACAAGAAACCAAGCTGGTACTGACTTTAAAGATATATATTTTTTAAATTTATGTGTGTGTGTCTGTCTGTCTGAATGTCTGAATATCTTGTGTGCACATGTGCTCAAGGAGGCAAGAAGAGGGCATCAGATCCCTTGGAGCTGGAGTTACAGGCTTTGTGAGCCATCTGATATGGGTAATGGGAACCAAGCTTGGGTCCTCTGCAAGAGCAAAACTGATCGACCTTTCTAACCCCTATGCAGTTTTATTTTGTTTTGTTTTGTTTTTGCTCTTTTTGAGACAGGGTCTCCCTGTAGCTCCAGCTGTCCTGGAACTCACTATGTAGACCAGGCTGGCCTTGAACTCACAGAGATCCGCCTGCCTCTGCCTCCCAAGTGCTGGGATTAAAGGCGTGCGCCACCACACCCGGCACCCCTATGCAGTTTTATATGGTGCTGGAGATCAATTCCAGAGCTTTGGGTATGTTAGACAAGCACTCTGCCAACTGACCTATATCCCTAGCCCTAAATTTTCTCTATTTCCAAGTGATTTAGAATTGTACCAGGAGCCAAGGGCTATCACAGAACCCAGTTTAATGAATTAAATTGGTCGTAAAAGGTGGACAGTTATGATGGGCTACTTGTTTTTCTCTGCAGCAGTCTCCCTTTTTGGCTTGTCCTCACTGTTGCTTCCTTGGAACTTTGAGTCTTATTTGGAATTTGTGAAGTCTCTGAGTTTGGGGCCAGCACTGATCTACACAGCTAAATTTGCACTTGTCTTCCCGCTCACGTATCATGCTGGTAATGGGATCAGGCACTTGGTAAGTTGGGTAAAGGAAAAGGGAAGGCTGGGAGGGTTCTCCCCTGTTGCTGAGTTTAATGTGCTCTTTTACCACCACCACCCCCTTTTTGTCAATGGGGGATCTGAACCCAGGGCCTCAGACGTGCTAAGCACATGCTGTACCTTTGGCCTATATCCCCAACCCTTAGGGCTATTCTTTGTTGAGATGGGGCTCACTATATAGCCCTGACTGGCCTGGAACTCATTATGTAGAATAGGCTGGCCTCAAACTCACAGAGATCCACCAGCCTCTTGCCTCTGCCTCATGAATGCTGTGACTAAAGGTGTGCACTACCATGCCTGGTATAAGAATGTTAAAACTTTCAAGAAGAATATTAGTAAAAGACATCCCTAAACCCAGATCTGACACAGAAGACATATTTATTAGATAAATATGAATTGGTACCTGTTATTTATCAAGCTCTGTTCTTGACACTAAGAATTTAATTATGAGCTAGATAAGCAGTTGCTGCTTCCAATGTTGCATTCCTATCTACCCAGAGTGACGAGTCTGGTTAGATTCAATATATTAACTTTTGTTTTCCTCACATTATATTATATTAATTATTCCTATTTCTTTTGAGCAGCTGGGGGGAATGAGGGCAACTTTCACACAAACTAGGTTGCAAGGAGCCTAGAGTTTGTTTGTTTATGCAGTACTGGGGATTAAGCCTAGTTGCTGGGCATGCTAGATAAGTACTCTACCACTCTACCACTGAGCTATATTCCCAGGTTTTTTTTTTTTTTTTTTTTTGAGAAGGTCTTATGTAACCCAGATTGACCTCAAACTCACTATTTAGCCACGGATGACCTGAACCTCTGTACTTCTGATTCTCCTGCCTCTGCCTCCTGAGTATCTGGAGTTTCATAACCAAGCCTCTAAGCCTAGCTAGGATCCTAGATTTAAATCTTGGATTTAGGAATGTTAGTGAATTGAAAACTCTGTTGCCTCCTACATGATCTTGTTAGTTCTAAACTGGTGTCCTGGGGCTGGGGATATAGCTCACTTGGTAGAATGCCTGCTTGGTGTGGAAGCCTTAGGTTTGATCCCCAGCATTATATTACAAAAAAAAGGAGTGGTGTGCTGGGCATGGTATCATATGCCTTTTAATCCCTGCACTTGGGAGGCAGAGGCAGAGGCAGGGGGATCTCTGAGTTTGAGGCCAAGCTTGTTCTACATAACATGTTCCAGGTCAGCCAAGGCTACATAATTTGACCCTACCCCCCAAAAAACAAGTCAGGTGTGGTGGCACATGCCTGCAGATCTCTGAGAGTTCAAGGCCAGCCTGGTCTACATAGTGAGTTCCAGGCTTGCTGGGACTACAGGGAGACCCTGTTTCAAAAAGACCAACTCCCCTCCAAAAAAAACAAAAAGCAGGCATGGTGGCGCATGCCTTTAATCCTAGCACTTGGGAGGCAGAGGCAGGCGGATCTCTGTGACTCCAAGGCCAGCCTGATCTACGTAGCAAGTTCTAGGCCAGCTAGGGCTACAGGGAGACCCTGTCTCAAAAAGACCAAAAAAAAAAAAAAAAAAAGGACAGGTCTTCTAGGAGTTCGAGGCAGGAGGATCAAGAAAGATTATCCTTAGCTATTTAGCAAGTTTGAGGCCAAACGAAACAAAACAAAACCCTACTGTCTTATCTCTTTTTTCTTTGAGATAAGGTCTCCCTATAGCCCCAGCTGGCCTGGTATTCACTATATAGACCAGACTGGCCTTGATCTCATAAGAGATCCACCTGCCTTTGCCTCCCAAGTGCTGGGACTAAAGGTGTGTACCACCATGTCTGGCTTTTTTTGTTTTGAGACAGTGTTTCTTGTAGCTCAGTCTGGCATAAAACTGGGTATATATTTGAGGATGACCTTGAACTTTTGATCCTCCATCCTCTACCTCTAGAATTGTAGGGTTGCAGGCTTATGTCAACACATCCAGCGCTTCTCTTTATAAAGGATTTAAAGCATAAGCAAACCTGCCTTGGTGTCAGAGCATTCTAGGAGTTCATATTTTTTAATCCCCTAGTCTTGTATCCTTCTCTAAGTAGTTAAAAAAATTGTTTTTGGTCTTTCACTATTTCTGAACCTTAGCTAAATGTCAAATGGATGCTTTTGCATTAGCTTGACCCTTTATAACTTATATATCACAGCCAGTCTTAGAGATAAGCATTTTCTGGATTCCAATCTGATCCAGTAGATGAATTGAACGGGAAAAAAAAAGTGAGAGACTAAAATGATCTATTAAGTGTATCTATCAAGTGTTCCCTGGGGCAGTGTTTGGTTTGATTTGAAATGACTTTACTTCCCTGAGGGAGGCAGAATGAAGAAGAAAGGCATTTTCATTAATGGCTTCTTCCACAGAACAAAGCTCTGTAAAATCAACTGAAGACCTTCCTCTGCTTACATCCTGGCTCAGGCAGGGACTTGATTTATATTTGCTTTTGTCTTAACATGGAGTGGGGAGGGGGTGTTTATAAAATCCTAGAACTCAATTAGGCTTTTTTTGCCCTGGTTCCTGCCCATTGTGGTCATCTCTCTATTGAGACAAGTGAAGAGCCTAAAGGCTTTTCTTAAGCGCTTAATCTACTTTTATTCTTTTTTTCTAACAAGTACTAGCTCTGGGTATAGATCAATATTTAGCTGTTTGCTATGAAATTGTGTAGTTTAGTAGCTGCCTTGCTAGAAGGCCTTACAGAGAAAAGGAAAATGGTATGTTATAAAAGGTGGCGATTGTAGGACCTTTGGCATACTAGAGGCTCCTCCCTATGACCGCTACCCAATAAAACTCAGTGTCATGTAAGACACTGCATCTGTAAGCAGAGCAGCTCTTTGACTCTTGATACCATCTAGGTAGAAACTTATTGGAGCTTGAGGTGAGGATATCTTTTCACCTTGATTTTTTTCTGGGCTCCCTCCAGTATTTCTCTGAAGTGACTCCTTAATTCAGTCAATTTTATAATCAGACTGTGGATGTTCGTGAGTTATTATGTTGAGGCAACTTTGTGTGATAAGTATGAAACCCTAACACTTTTTTTGCCTTAGACTATGATGTATTAATATCCTTAGAGAGTAAGAGAGTATAGTGTTGGTTTTTTCTAGTCCTGAAGATCTTTTTATTTTTAATTTTTTTAATTTTTTATGTGTATGTGTTATGCTTGCATGTGTGTAAGTGCACTGTGCCATGCAGTGCCCGCAGAGGATTGAAGAAGGCATCAGATCCCCTGGAACTGGACTTACAGATGGTTGTTAGCCACCATGTGGGTGCTGGGAATTGAACCGGGGTCCTCTGCAAGAGCAGTCAGTACTTTTAACTGCTGAACCATCTCTCTAGCCCCATCAATTTTTAAAAATATTTTATTTATTATTTTTATTTTGTGTTTATAAGTGTATTGCCTGCATGTATGTGAGTGCACCTGTGTCATGCATTGCTGTGGAGTTCAGAAGAGGGCGTCGGATTCCCCTGGAACTGGAGTTAAGGACAGTTCGTAGCCACCATGTGGGTGCTGGGAATCAAACCTGGGTCCTCTGAAAGAGCTGTCAGTGCTCTTAACCACTGAGCCATCTCTCTAGCCCCAAAATTGTGTTTTGAAGGAACACATTTCAGGGAACATTAATCTAGGTGTGTCATCACAAGGAAAAGTTTTGTTTATTCAGTCTGGAAACTTTTGTATTAGGGCCTTTGGCATTCTAGAGAACATTCACTCTGTGCTTCACAACAGTACTTGATTTTCTGTCATTGGAGAGGTAAGTGGGTAGGTACCATATTGAGGGTTTTGAGAAGGGTGAAAGTGGGACAAACTTAAGGGTATGGTACTTTTCCCTAGAATCCCACAGAGAGGAGGTACCTATTCAGTAGTAGAATATTTCTCTCTGAGAAAGAAGCTGTGAGAGTGACCAGAGTTCTAATTACTGGAAACAAAAATAACTTTTTTTCCCTTTTTTTCTACAGATGTGGGACCTAGGCAAAGGCCTGGCAATTCCCCAAGTCTACCAGTCGGGAGTGGCTGTCTTGGTTCTTAGTGTGTTGTCCTCTGTAGTGCTGGCAGCCATGTGAAGAGCTGAAGTTCTGGGCATCGTCTTGTACATTATTACATTGATTTATATTCCTATTCATCACTCTTTATCTCCAACCAACAGAGTTCTCTTGATTGGTTTAGGTGCTCTTGTGCTTGCAGATCCCTTTGGAGCTTTGTAGAGTAGCTTGTAGAACTATAGAACTAGTAGAAGTTCCAGTTTTCTTATCTCTTAGGCTGGAGTGGCTGCAAATCTTTTCCTGCCCACAGCCTGCAGCCTACTCAGGCCTAGCGGCTCTTACTCCCTCTCCATATTGGACTTCAACTTGTGCTGAGGGTCAGCTTTTGGCTCCTTCTCGCTGTGACAGTGAAAACAATGCCAGTTCTGTGGCTGCCCTGGGTGCCACTGGCTGTGGGTTGCTAGCTTAAAGGACATTTCTGTTCATTGGTGAGAGCTTAGGGCCTTTAGCACCCACACAGTATGACTGTGACACAGTGAAGAAGAAAAGTGGAGGTGGAGGGGAATTGTCCTACCCAGCTAGAGGGAGATAAAGAGAGCAAGTTGGATCGTAGAAGCTGATGCTTTGGGAAGATGAGATACAGCTTTTGATAGACAAGGAAGATCCAAAAAATTAAAGTTTCTGTTCCTTTTGTTTTTCAATTCTAGAAAGCAAACTTAATGTCGTGTTTTCTGTTCTAAATTCATGTACCATCTTTTTTGAAACAATTAAAATATTGCTAATTTTATCTTTGACTCTTCGAAATCTAGAGAAATCAAGAGAGGGTTAGTGGGAAGGATTCAGTTTCCTCCCTGTATTAGTCACTTTTCTATTGCTGTGATAGAAACACTGACCCAAGCAATTTATAGAAGGAAGAGTTTATTTGAGCTTACGGCTCCAGGGGAATTACAGTCCATCATGGCAGGGAGGCATGGTGGCTGGAGGTGGCTGGAGCAGGAACAGCAGAAGCTAAGCTCTCACATCATCACACAGGCACAGGAAGCAAGAGAGCGACTGGAAATCTGGCAAGGCTTAAGAACTTTCTAAACCCACCCCAGTGACGTGTTTCCTCCCAGATAGCCACACCTTCTAAAACCTCCCAAAACAGTGCCATCATCTGGGGACAAAATGTCCAAATACTTGGAGCCTATGGGGGACATTTTCATTCAAACCATCACACTCCCATTCCCTTTGGGTCTTGGGTATTTAGACCCTCCAGTATGACCTGTCCCAAGAGGGAAACAGATTGCCTTATAACTGACCACTGAAAAAATTTTGAGAGAATCACATATAAGCAGTCCAAGGATTTTGGTGCCACAAAAAAGCCTCAGAAAAGAAAAAAGTGGTTAAGCATGTTGAGAGCTTTTGGGTTATTACAGGTACACATCCCATCCCTTTGAAAACTGGGTATATACTTCATGGCACAGTTCAGCAAATTATCCACTGAAAGATGCAGTGTACCAGTGGAAGTGATAACTAAGGGATAATGACCTAAGATACAAAGTTAGGAAGAAATGCTGAGAATTTCTTAAGGTGTGGAGTAGGGGTATGGGGAGGATTGTTAGAATTTCTAGCAAAAGAATTATGATGGAAAACTTGGTACTTTTATCCCTGTTGGGTCAGGCAGTTGGGTTCCTAAATCATTGGCAGCAGTTCTATGTATGTTCGTGGTGTTAGAAGTCAAACCCAGGGTCTTGTACCTGTTAACAAGCACTTTACCACTAAACTACTCTAGCTAGGAGTGCTGTTTTGATAGGCTTTGCAAACTCTAGAGTAAAAACTGGAGATTTGGCTTAATGATAAAGCCCTTGCCTAGTATGCACAAGGCCTATAGTTCCATCTCCAACACCAAGAAAAACAGTACTCTAAGACATCCATCTTGCCATTGAGTTGTTGATCAACTAGTTAAAGGAGTGGATTGAAGAGGAGTAATAATGACTAGCTGGTGTCAGTTGGCTAGGAAGACAAAGTGAGTTCAGACAATGGGACCTGCTGCTTCAGTAGTCCGTAGAGATTTTTTGAGAAAGGGTCTCACAATATAGCCTTGACTGGCCTACAATTCACTATGTATTCCAGGCTGGCCCTGACAAGTCTACTGTAGTGCTAGGGATTGAACCTAGGGCCTCATTCATGCTAGGCAAGCACTCTACTCCTGGGCCATAGCCCTAGCCCCTTTGTTTTTGAGACGGCCTCAGCAAATTACATGGTGGAAGGAGAGAGCTTGACTTCAAGTTGTCCTCTGACCTCTGCATACATACCATGCCATAACATGCATACAGAAAATATATGTAATAATTTTGGGGGGAGGAGGGGGTCTTTTGAGACAGGGTCTCCCTGTAGTGCCAGCTGGCCTGGAACTCACTATGTAGACAAGGCTGGCCTTGGACCCACAGAGATCTGCCTGCTTCTGCCTCCTGAGTGATGAGATTAAAGGCATGTACCACCATGCCTGGCTGTAATATTTTTTTTACATACTCTGTAAACAGTTGTACTTGTGATTTGAAGTCAGTTGCACAAGAATCAGTTCTGTTCTAGTTTGTTTCTCCATTGCTGTGACATAATATTGACCAGTACCAACTTGGGAAGGAAAGGGTTGATTCTGCTTCCATCTCTCTGGTCACAATTCATCAGATAGCCCAATGTAGGAACTCAGGCCAGGAGCCTGGAGGAAGGAGCTGAAGCACAGGCCATGGAGGAATGCTGTGTACAGGCCTGCAACCCTGGCCTGTGCTCAGCCTGCTTTTTTATACAATACAGAACAACCTGCCCGGGGGTGGTACTGCCCACAATGGGCTGGGTCCTCCCACATCACTCAAAAAAAAAAAAAAATCAAGAATATAGCCCACAGACATGGCTACAGGCTAGCCCAATGGAGGCAATTCCCCAATTGAGGCTGCCTCTACCCAGGTGTGTCAAGTTGACAACTAAGTTATCCAGCACTGGTTCTTTAGGTTTTGCCCTTGCGATGTGATGCAGACCAATTTTCTCTTGGCCATTTCTGAAGTATAACAGTCCTTGTTAAAACTTCCTGCACCCAAATTGCTGTAATGTTCTTTTCCCTACTTTTTCTCCCACCCCTCCTAATTATGGATTACAAAAGACAGTCATAACAGGAGGAGAAAATCCAGATTGGTAAAAGATTTAAAAAACTATTTATTTGCCCAAATTTGTCTCTTCGGTCTCATAATTTCTCTGTTCCATATTTCTGATCTGGGGGTTTTGTTTTTATTTCACTTAATCCCTAAGACAGATCGTAGCATGGCCCCCTTTCCTCTAAGAAATTCCAGCTTTGCATTTCTGTATTTCAGCTACAGTAGGACTTGCTCAGTGTTCTAGCATACACACTGGCTTTCAGATTGGGTCTTAGGAGAGTTGACTGGGGTTAGGGGACCTGGAGCGACCTGCAGAGGGGTGTGAGCTTTGGGGTTCATTGGGGGTGTCACCGTCGATATCTGGGGAGCTTGGGATTATGGTTGGATTTGGTGCTTGTTGTACAGTCTTTGTGATACATTTCTTTTGTTTCTGCTGATTGTCTGGATCGTGAGGCTGTCAGGGTTAGAGTAGAAAAGATGATCATATTTCAAGTTAGGTCTAGATTATTCCTAATCAACCTTGGAATTATAACTCCCTTTTGTCCCATGCCATGGGAAGGTCAGGGTTCAAATAAGAATAGTTAAATTTAACCTCCCCTTGAGAGTATCATCTACTGGGATTGAGTGGGGAATCAAATGTCTCAGTTTATTCCTTCAAGCCTTAATGATTAGGAGCTAGACAGGATAAGACTGGATTGGTTAGAGATTCCCTTGGCTGGAATAGTGATTAGTGTAACAAACATTTTTGAATCTAGAAATAAAATGGAAAGAAAGATACCTTGCCTAAAATTTCAGGACGCAGCCCATTAGAGGCCTTGAGTAGATCAGGATTTTTCTGTATCCATTTGGTGAGGGAGGCGGCAGCAGCAGTTGTACGGGAGGTCAAGGTCACTCGAGCAGGTGGTACCTTCAGGGGCATTTGCCAAGTGCCCATGAAGGAACCCCAAGGACTTGCCTAAAAGGAAAAGGGGTTCCTCAACAGTGTCCCCTGCTGGTAACTGGTTGGCAGGTTGTTGGTCTCATTTCCATTCTTCACCTTTGGGAATGCTTAAGTAATGACACCTGAAAGTTCACTCTCCCTCCTCTTCCCTTTTCCCAGTCAGTTACCCTATCATCATCACCTCTCCTCCACCAACTCAAATTCTGCATTCTTTTTTTTTTTTTCTTTTGGTCTTTTTGAGACAGGGTCTCCCTGTAGCTCCAGCTGTCCTGGAACTCACTATGTAGACCAGGCTGGCCTTGAACTCACAGAGATCCACCTGCCTCTGCCTCCTGAGTGCTGGAACTAAAGGCGTGCACCACCACACATGGCAAATTCTGCATTCTTAAGAGATAAAGGAATCCCCATGCATAAGTGTCATCATCTGAAAATATGGTTTACACAGACATCAGTTTAAGGACTTGTATGCTAAGAAGCTTTGCCCTTTTGGATAAACTGGCTGGTAGGTTGGGGTACTCACCTTATAGACTGAACTTTAGTTTTCTATATAGTGACTGCAAGCTCACAGCTTTTACACTTCACTTCTTACCTTTTTGATATGGAGATGGGGATCTCACCTTGGAACGGGGCACTGAGGGCAACAGATGACCTCGATCGTTGGCGATAATCTGAGTATAACCTTCTTGGGAAGAGATTCTCTGTGGTGGAGGTAGGAGAGAGAAGTGCTCAAAGTGAAAAGGGAAGAAGGACAACAAAAAGTATCTGAGGGCTTAGATAAAAGGCACAGGAAGTGGAGAATGTAGACTTTCAGAAAGCGAAAAGGAGTTAAGTGACTAAGAGAACATGATGTCAATCACTATAAATTGGCCTTGGAGGGGCACTGAGTACAGAATACCTCTTTCGTTGGCTTGGCAGGAGACCAGTTCTGCAGGTACTTGGGTGAGAAAGATTTTTCATACTGTGGAAACAAAGATGAGAATCCCTGTGAGGCTCTGAGCTCTCAAGCCTAGGAAATGATGACAGTTCTCTAGAGTTGAAAGCCAAAGGCCTCAACAACTATGTGGGCTCCAACTCCCTGTAACAAGGATATATATATATATATATGCATGAAAATACTTCAAGGGAGATGAAAAATGTGGTAATGGAGTACATGTAAAAGGAAAGTACATGAAAGTGCGTGCTCACAGAGAAACCCCAGGAGAGGACCAGCAAAGCTCAGATGTGGTTTCTGGTTGCTGGAGATCGGAAAACTCACTTTCCCATTTTTCTGTTCCTCAGATTGGCACCAAAATCCAGTTTGAAAAAAAAAAAAAAAAAAAAAAAAAAAAAAAAAAAAAAGGAAAACAAAAGGGGGTACTAAGTGGGGGAAGAAAGGAATAAACTGGGGGGTAAAGGGAGAGGGGAACGATTGAGAACAAAGTGTATGAAGATGACATGACAAGACCCATAATGTCATAACCCACATTAACACAAAAAGATTAGAGAATTAATACAGAAAGAGAAGAAATTAGAAATAAAAAGGACAAAGGACATGCAGTGCTGGGGATTGAGCCCAGGATCTTGTGCAGGTTAGACAAGTGCAAGATTATAATCTGGGGACTAGAGATGGTTAGTGGTTAAGAGCAAACTTGTTCCCAGCATCCACATCAGGCGGCTCACAACTGCCTATATCTCCAGCTCCAAGGGGATCTGACACAGCTGACCTCTGCAGGCACCTGTACTCATGCACACACACACATGCACACAACATTCATAATGTAAGATGGTAAATCTTTTTAGAAAAAGATTTTAATCTGTTTGATCAGGATATGTGCTGTCCAATGTGTAGCCACTGAGCACATGTTTAAACCCTTAAAAAATAACTAGTCCAGAGCTTTCTAAGTATAAAACACTGGAGGGCTGGGGATATAGCTCAGTTGTAGAGTGCTTGTCTAGTATGTACAGAGTTCTAAGTTTAATCCTCAGCACTCAGGGGAAAAAAAAGGATTTTTGAAGAGCTAGAATTTAAAATATATCACTATAATTTTTAAAATATTGATTATGGCAGGCATGGTGGCACATGCCTTTAATCTTAGCACTGGGGAGGCAGAGGCAGGCGGATTTCTGGGAGTTAAGTTTAGCCTGGTCTATGTAGTGAGTTGCAGGCCAGCTGGGGCTACAGGGAGCCCCTGTCTCAAAAAGACAAAACAAAAAAACATAAAATATTAAGTAGGATGTGGTGGTGCACACTTTATCCTCAGCACTTGGGAGACAAAGACAGGTGGTAAATCTCTGAGATTGAAGTTAGTCTGGTCTACAGAGCAAGTATCAGGCAGCTGAGGTTATAGGGAGAACTTGTCTCAAAAACCAAAAAGCAAATAAAAATATTATCAATACTTTGGATTTATTGGGTTCTATTGAACATTACCAAATTTTAATTTTATTTTTAATTTTTACATAGCTATTAATTAAAATTACATTTGTGACTCACATTATAGGAAGTGTTACTCAGACCAACAGTTGGTGACCACATCAATATTTATGCCTGCTTTTGGTTAGCAAAAGAGCTAAGAATGGTTTTTATTTTTATTTTTTGAGGCATGGTTTCACTGGCCTTGAACTCCTGGCAATCCTCCAGCCTCTTCGTGGCAAGAATTGTTTTCAGTTCTTTTGTTTTTTGAGACAGGGTCTCACTATGTAGCCCTGGCTGGCTTGGAACTCTTCATGTGCCTCTGCTTCCTGAGTGCTGGGATTAAAGGTGTGTGGAACATGAATGGCTTTTATAGACAAACATTTGTATTGCTTTGACAGAAAGTAGCTGGCCAGGATGGCTCGTACCTATAATCACAGCACTTGGCAGGGTGAAGTAGGAGGATTGTTAGTTTAAATGGCCAGTCTAGGAGGGCTACATAGCAAAACCTTGGCAAAAAAGAAGAAAGAACACCAAACTTTGAATCTCAACTGAGCGAAATATTTTCTCCAAAAGATTTCCAAAACTTTGGGGGTGGAGAGGTAGCTCAGCAGTTAAGAGCACTTGATGTTTTTGCAGAGGACTTGAATTTGTCAGCTGTGAGCTGCCTGCCTGGAACTCCAGCTCCAGGGGATCCAACACCCTCTTCTGGCCTCTGCTGGCTAAATTTTACCAAATTTTTTATGGATAATTTAATGTAAGTATCTATGCAGTGTCTATGACTTTGTTATTTGATTTACAAAGCCTAAAATATTTACTCTGGCCTGTAAAGAAAAAACAACAAACAACAACAAAACTGTCTTCTGGTTAACCCTATAATTTTAACTCAGGAGACCCCTTTTGCTTGTTCCTGGGCCTTTCCCAACCTTGAGGTGAAACACCATCTCAACCTATATTTAGCATCTGTTCAAAGATCAGAATCCTATGGGAGGGGGTCAGTTTAAAGATAGACACTTAAAGGTAAAAAAAATCAAATGTTAAGGATGTGGAAAAGAGAACTTACCTGGTTGGCACTGTAGTTAGTGGCCATGATCCTGTGCTGTTTACACTTGTTGCCAGGCAACTACAGAAGGCCAGCCTTCTGGAAATACCTCCCTATGGGCAGGAGTTGGCTATCTTATTATTTCTGTGGCTCATGCTGCCTCTTTCCTTTCTCTCTGAAACTTAGGTTCATTTTCATTTTAGAGTGTGAAGGACTGAGTAAACAAAAAAATTAGCTGAGAAGCAACCCTCCCTTTTCCCCCAATGTAAACTAACCTCACTTAACTTTCAGGTTGTCTTCAATCATTTTAACAAATTATGGAACCCCAAGAGCTGTGTTTGTGGAGAAATCCAGACTGTAGAACTAGAACCTGGGGTCAGAGTCCTTATTCAACATGGGAACATAGGAGCTGTGTGACATTAGACCACTGGCTTCCTTCATTAAAGAACTCTTCATCTCTGTGAGTTCAAGGCCAACCTGGTCTACACAGTGAGTTCCAGGACATTTGGGGCTACAGGGAGACCCTGTCTCAAAAAAACCAACCCCCGCCCCAAAAAGCCTCTTCACTTGTTGTAGGAATAGCCTGCTTTTTAAAATATCTAGATATTATTAAAGCATAATGGGTACTATTCATAGGACCTACTGCTTAATTTTCTCAGAATGACAAAAGTACAGTGTCTAAAAGAGCAAGCAACCCAAGTTTGTTACCACAAGGAAAAATATGTCTTGTCCTTGGTCCTTAACACCTGTCTCTTCCATCACTCTAGAATCACAGAACCCAAGAACATAGGTTTTTAATGTTGGCTAAGATAAAGTGAATCAGGAGGGGGAGTGGTATTTCAGGGGGGCGGGGGATGATGAAAGTCCAAATTGAAAGCACTAGGTTTAAAGGGTTAAGTGGTGATGCCAGAACACAAACTTCTTATCAGTAGGACGAATAAACCCTTCTGAGACTCATGTAAACTGATGTTATACCCATCTACTGGGTTAGACAAACAAGTGAGGGCTTGTCAGTTATAAAGATTAAAAAGTGCTAAGAAATAAGTTGTTCATGAAATACATAAGTAGGGGGGCTGAAGAGACGGCCCAGCAGTTAAAAGCACTTGTTGCTCTTGCAGAGGATCCAGGTTTGGTTCCCAACACCCATTTGGTGGCTAACAACCTTCTGAAATGCCGGTTCCAGGAAACCAAATACCCTCTTTTGGCCTCTGTAGGCACTGCACACTGGTGAACTTACATGCAGGTAAAATACTCATACATGAAATTAAATTTAAAAATTTTAATTTAAAATGAAACAGATACTTCAGAGCCAGGTATGGTGGTGCATGCCTGTGATCCCAGCACTCAGGAAGCAGAGGCAGGAGGATCTCAAGTTAGAGGTCAGCCTGGGCTACAGAGTAAGACTCTGTCTCAAAAAAAAAAAAAAAAAAAAAACAAACGGGAGGGACTCATGAAGCCCCAGCCCCGTCCTGGGGCTATATAGGCAGTTAATAGTTGCTAGTGGGAGGGGCTCTCAAGGCCACACCCCTCCCTGAGAAGCTATTGGCAGTTAGTGATTCCTGGGGAGAGACATTTTCTTCAGTGGTGTAGCCAGCCACTGGTAAGTTGCCCAGTGTCCAGTAAATAACCTCCCACCCATGCTTATGCAAGCAACCTTAATTAAGCTCAGTAGGTCAGACACACACAATACAAGTGCATACTACATTAAAGTAGTAGAGGACTTTTTGGGAAGAAGAGGGGGTTCAGTAGGAGTGGGAGGAGGATAATGGGGGTGAATATGATCAAAATACGTGATATACATGTATGAAAATGTCATAATGAAACCCATTATATAATTAATGAATGCTGGTTTGAAAATAAAAGCTTGGTGTGGTAACTCACGCCTGTAATCCTTGCACTTGGGATACTCCAGCAAGAGGATTACCACAAATATGGAGCTAGCTGGGGCTACTTAAGACCCTATCTCCAAAAGGAGTAACTGTTAGTTCTTTCCTCAAATCCTCATTTCATCCAACATACATAAGGACACTCTCAACCCTTCTAGATGGAGATAAAAATAGCTCTTGTTTCATAGGCTCTGACATTTAACAGCTGGATGATGTGATGTAGGAAAGAAGACTCATGTGTTCCATCCCTGTGGTTGTCATTACTCATTAGAGTGATGGAAGAGACAGGAGTTATTTAAGGATTAAGGACTGTCTTTATTCTAGAATATCCATTGTCCATTGAAAGCAAAGTGACAGTTTTTCAAGCATCATTTCTCTAGGAATTTCTGTCTTCGGCTAGTATGAGACAGGGTTTCATGTATCCCAGGCTGGCTTTGAACTCACCACACTTGGTTTATGTGGTGCTGAGACTCAAACTCAGGAGTTTGTTCATGTTAAGCAAGCAATCTATACCCCCAGTCTTTTTGTTTGTTTGTTTGTTTTTAAGATAGGTTCTCATATAGGCCAGGACTCACTGTGTAGCTGAATAGATTTTTTTGTGGAAATTTCAATATTTAGAAGGCAATTAACCCATGGTTCCAGTTTTTACAGTTAAATTCTTGTTTCTGCTGAAATGTATTTGTTTACTTATGATTGACTTCAGTACTAGGGATTGAACACAAGGCTCCATGCATAGTAGCAAGGCTATATTCCCAGACCTAAAATTTATTTTAATGAACTAAGGCCAGGCTAATATGGGGAGAGACCATAAATGATAGCTTTCCTGCTTTTGCTTTGAACCCATTCATGAGTCTTTAAAAGGAAAGAAAAAAGATGTTTAACTGGTTGTCTTGGCATCATTACTGAATAAACCTTTCCCCCATTGCTTTGTAAAGCCACTTTCATCACATTCTCTAATACACTGGGGAGTTTGTTTCTGGATTCCCCAGCCTGTTCTGGAGAGACAGATGACCATTTCTTGTTATGCCTCTCTTTAAAATCCAAGATGCAATCCTGGGTTGGGCCTGTGTGAATCTTGAAGTTAGAACTTTCACAGACACTAAGAAATTGTCACATAAATCAAGAAGCAATTTTATGCTTTCAGATGAATTGGTTTACTTGAAGTGACAAGGAGCAGATTTAATTGTTCCAAAGCTGAAAGAAACATCCTACCCCTAAAACATGCCTTATGATATTGTCATCATTCATAAATTTGCTTGTGCCTGAAATTAGACCATTAGGAAGTATTTTATGTGGTCTGAGACTGATCTTAACTGCTACTGAAGAGCAGTTTTCCTTTGGCTCTATGGGCAGTGTATAAACTTGGATCTGAGTGATGGCAACCACCAGTGAGACTCCTGGAGAAAGATTAGATTATCTGAGTGAAATGTGAAACCTTGGATAAGTTCATCTTTCTGGACCTCATGACCTTACGTGTAAAATGAGGGATAATAGTTTTGAACATTAAATACACATAGCATACCTTGGTAGGTGCTTGATGCATAGTGAGTACTCAGTTTTAGAACTGTTATTGGCTTAAGAGTGCTCAGATGCATCAAGATGGCTCCGTGGGTAAAATTACTTGCTGAATGAGCTTGACAACCTGAGTCTGATACTGGAACCCACATAAAAAATGCCAAATGCATCTGTAATCCCAGCACTCCTCCATTGAGATGGGAGTAGGAGACAGAAGAATTGCCCTGATAATCTTGTAAACCAGCTAGCCTGGAGTATGCAGCACAGAAGAAATGAGAGAGAATGTGTGTCAACAAGGTGAAAGGAGAGAACCAACTCCTGAAAGTTTTTCTAACCTCCACATGCTCCATGGTATATGTGCACCTGCACACACACATTACACAAAAACACGAGAGAGAGAGAGAAAGAGAGAGAGACAGAGACAGGAGAGAGAGAGAGAGAGAGAGAGAGAGAGAGAGAGAGAGAGCCAGAGAAAAGTACATATTCAGGTTAGCTTAAAGAGAAAAAAAGAAGGGAGTGTTTAGAAAGTTATAGAAGTGTTTAATATATTCCCAAGGTAAGAAGCATGCCTTGGGCCTCAAAGGATATAGGACTCTGAAAGGTAGAGCATGACCAGAAAGAGAAATTTTACTTTTCTCCTTTGACAGCTTTTTCTTTTTCTTTTTTTCTTGGCATCTTTTTCACTGCAGTAACTGATTCTTATTTCTCCACAAACCAGCCAACATGATTTGCTCCCAGAATGAGAACCACTGTCCTGAGATAATGTGGGTTGTACCAAGAGAGTCTGACAATATAATAAGAGAGAATAGAGCAAAAACAATTCTGGCCAATAAAGTATGGAGGGCTAGAGATGTGGCTTGGTTGGTAGAATGCCTGCCTAGTATGCAGGAAGTCTTGGGTTTGATCCCTAGTACACATAAACCAGATGATGTCGAATGCCTGTAATCCCAACACTCAGAAGGGTGGAAGCAAAAGGATCAGAAGTTCAAGGTCATCCTCCAATACGTACAACTTTGAGGCCAACCTAGGCTACGTGAGACTCTGTCTCAAAATAATATATAAAATAAAAGGGCCATTGAGATGGGTCAGTGGGTCAAAGGTGCTTGCCTTAAAAGCCTGGCAGCCTGAGTTCAATCCCCAGAACCACATAAAGGTGGAAAGAACCAACTCTACAAAGTTTCCTCCAGCTCCATGGCATGTGCACATGTACACACACACACACACACACACACACACACACACACACACTAACAAATGAAAATTAATAAAAACACAACAAAAGAGAAGAGAGACCTGTTTTTGCTTTAAACTACTTAGCCTTTAAAAAAATGTCTTACAGGCCAGGCATGGTGGTGCTCGCCTTTAATTTTAGCACTCTGGAGGCAGAGGCAGGCGGATCTCTGTGAGTTCAAGCCCAGCCTGGTCTATGTAGCGAGCTCCAGGCCAGCTGAAGCTACAAGGAGACCCTGTCTCAAAAAACAAAAACAAAAACAAAAAAAAAAACAAAAAAAAAGTCTTACAACCAGTTAGCAGTTTTTGTATAGATTTCCAAAGATATAAGCTGCACATAGTGGTACAGGTCTGTCATATGAACACTTGGATGGCTAAATCAGAATAATCCCAAGGCCAGTCTGTATAGTGAGGCCTTTTCTGTATAGTGAGGCTTTTTCTCTAAAAACCAAATAGATAATTCTGTCCTATAACCAGTTATCAGTTTTCATATAATTTTCTAAAGATTGTGTGTATGCACATGAAAGAGTGTGTATATTTTTTTAATTCCTTGACATCACCATTTAAAAAATTTTTTAAAGTTTTTGTTTATATTTTATGTGTTTTGTGTGCATATATGTAAGTGGACCACATGTGTGCAATGCCTGCAGAGGTCAGAAGAGGGTATTGGATGCCTTCAACACGGAGTTATTGATGCGATGGCTTGTTAGCCACCATGTGAGTCCTAGGAACTAACTCAGGTCCTCTGCAAGAGCAGCCAGTGCTCTTAACTGTCTCTTTAGCCCTGCATTACTTTTTGCTGAAATATAGTCTATCATACCGCTTTTTAAAAATATCTGTATTTTGGAACCAGGCATGGTAGTACACATTATACTTCTGTAATCCCAGAGCTCAAGAGGCAGAAGCAAAATTGCCATGAGTTCAAGACCAGCCTGGGCTACAATAGAGAGGTTTTTTTTTTTTTTTAAATAGATACAACTATTAGGCCAGACATGGTGGTGCATGCCTTTAATCCCTGCATAGGCAAGTGGATCTCTGTGAGTTTGAGGCCAGCCTGGTCTATATATCAAGTTCCAGGCCAGCCAGGGTTACATAGTGAGAGCCTGTCTCAAACAAAAAATAAATAAATTCGTAACTTTTAATTTTTATTTTAAATTTTCATTATATCTTGTTTGTGTTGGCATTCATGTATCATAGCACATGTAGAGGTCAGAGGACAATTTGTGCAAGTCAATTCTCTCCTTTTACCATGTGGGTCCAGGAGATCGATCTCAGGTCATCAGGCTTGGCAGCAAGTCCCTTTTTTCTCATTGACCTATCTTACTGTCCCAACAGAAAGAGTTCTAGGCCATCAAGTTACAAATTAAAAATTTTTCTCAAAAATTAAAAAAAAAAAAAAGACTAGATGAGATAACTCATTGCTGTCAAGCCTGAAGATTTGAGTTTGAGCCTCAGGATCCATATGGTGGAAGGAAAGGCTCCCCAAATTTATCCTCTGACTTTCACACACACATGTCAAGGCATATGTATACACACCTGTGCACATGCACACACAAAAAATATAAAAATTTAAAAAGACAGCCGGGTGTGGTGGTGCACACCTTT